ACTTGATCAATGTAATTCTCATCATTCAGTTAAAGAGCTTTCCAAAAGGAAAAAAAAAAGTTTTTGCATTCTGCAAACCTCCCCAAAACAACCTGTTTTTCATGAAAACTGGCCCATTTTTCTTTTCAAAAAAAGGCATGAATAGCCTTGGGGTTTTTTGTAGAGTGCTCGGGGGGGGGGGGGCAAAAATGAGCAAAAAACGGCTCGTTTTTTGACAAAAAAATTGCATGCATAGCCTTATGGAGGCTTATAGAGTGCTGCTGGGGCCTGGGGGGCAAAAAACGGCCCGTTTTCTGCTCATTTCTGCCCTCCCCAGCCCCCAGGAGCTCCCTGAAAGCCTCCTAAAGGCTCTGCACGGCCATTTTGGTGAAGGGGCGGGGCTTCAAGAAACAAAAAATGCTGTATTCGATGTATAAGACTCACCCAGATTTTCAGCCTCTTTTCTGAGGAAAAAAGGTGTATCTTATATTCCGAAAAATACGGTATATAAAGAAACAGATATCAATAACATGCTATGTATCCTCCACAGCAGATGGTCATTTCTTCATGGCTCCTGAGGCTGTCACTCTCCCCTCGGTTTACACAATGAGAGGCAGCAAGAAGAAACTCAGGATGACCGGCAGAAACGCTCTGAGTTCTTAATGAGCCCCTGCAGACTTTCTCTGGGATTCCCAGGCTACGTACTTAAGTCTTCCAACATCCTCTTCCAGTTTCTTGCTTCTGGAGAGTCCGGGTATTTCTCCAAGAGTCCAGAGAGCGATTCCTTGGCTGCCTGGACCTTCACGGCATTCTGCTCCAAATCACCCAAAAATGCCTATTCAGAAAGGAGGAAAGCATCAGACTGTGGGACTGATTAAAAGGCAGGAAATGTTTTCCAGGACAAGCTTCCATCCTCTTGATTTCTTCTTCCCTCTGAGGATAGCAGAGGCTGCTGCTAGAACAGTGATGGCTATAATCAGTGATAACCAAAGGTCACCAAAGGCCAGGACCAATGCTTTCAGCCTATTTTAGGCTTTATGAAAAGGTAGCCTTAAGCTTTCTCCAAATCAGAAGTATCATCTACCATACTTAGATGAGAAATTGGAGGTTTCAATGGGTAAAATACAAATCTCAAGGCATTCATTTTGCTCCTCACCTGTGCTGAAAAAAATGGGTGTCCCAAAGTCCAGGAGGCCTATGAAACCACAACAAGGGCACTAGTGCACAGAGGCTTGGAAGGCATTCATGTTCTACACATTTTGAGTCTGTGCCCTCACTGGACTGAAAGCCTGTGACCTGAAGCCTGTGCATCTGGAGGGAGGGAATGATTGACCTAAACCTAAATACTGACTGGAACTACTGAATGGCCAGTATTTGAAAAGGATTTAGGCTGCTTTTTGAAGGAACAGCAGCACTTGCAATTGTAATGCCAGAATATATTACAGAGCACCCACAAGTACAACAATGAAATTTCTCTAAAATAGAATTTCAACTATTTGAATAACTACATTATATTTTTGTGGGAGGCATAAAAAGGGGGTTAATAAGCTGAGTTTGATGCTTCAGATCAGCCTCAAACAGAGAATCATTCTCTTGGCTACAAAAGGAGAAGACACTTGCCATATGCTTTACTGAACATTATTATTATAGATGGTTTTTAAAAAGCAAGGAACAGGATTGTATTGATACATGAAAATAAGACCTTATTATGCTCTGCCTGAGCTCTCATTGTGTCCGATTTTGTAGGTGATGAGGAAGCTTCCAGGGCTTTCAAAGCCTGCTCCTTCTCCTCCAACCATGTCAGCACAGAGTTCACCTCCTCTTGGGCCTCCCTCATCTTGTCCAACATGGCTGAGAGCTGCTCAAGACGCCTCCGTAAAGCAGCACCCAGCCCTTCGTACTGCTGGTTCACATCTGACATATCACACTGGATCTCTGTCAGATCTAAGGCAGAAAAAGAACCCAACTGGAATTAGAGGAATTATTTAATTTGTTTAAAGTTATAGATATAAGGGCTAAATGTAATAGTTGTAGATATAAGAGTCTACATATGTTCAGTGCAGTGGTGGGTTTCCATTTTTTTTACTACCGGTTTGCTCGTGCACGCACACAACACTTCTGCATATGCACAGAAGCATTTTGGGCAGATGGGCAGAGCCTCCCGTCGCTACCACCTCTACCGGTTTGCCCAATCCAGGCCAAACCGGGAGCAACCCACCTCTGGTTCAGTGTAATAAACAACATGCATGAACAACGTCAAAGGATGCTCCAGGTGAAAGGCCTTCTGCACACTCAGGCTCTGCTTTTCTTAAGAAAAGTGATGATGGAAGAAGAGAGACTTCAGAATTTCTAGAATCTGACCCTCTAGGACAGGGGTGCAGCTTTTAAACTATTCTCTTCCTAAGAATCAGCAAGTGCTTTCTCCCTGCCAGTTTTGCTTAGAGAGCCATAAGAAAGCTTTAAATACTGGATGCATCTATAATTTGCGCTTAGTTAAAAAAAGTTTGAAATAATCTGAGATGAGTGACAAGGAAGCTTGAGAATGAGTGGAAAAGAACCTTCCAGTTTTACTCCATACATATGACCCCTGACTCTTAAAGAAAGAAACTGCAAGGGTCAAAGCAACTTACTCTCTTTGTCTGAACAATGGGAATGCAAACAAAATTGTTATTGATAGGCTTTATTGCAGTAAGGTAAAGACACACATTTCCAGAAGTATGCACAATTAACTGAATTGCCTCACCTTTGCAGGTGTGATATCCATTTACACTGCCTGTTGAACTACCACCAGCAGGGAGCACAGGACCTGAGCAAAATCATAAGGAGGCAGACATAATGGCATAATAGTATAATATTTTGGAAAAGACACACAGATTGTGCCCTTTGCAGCTGGAGCACAACTAACACCCATTCATGCTGCTATAATCTAGCTGGATCAGTGTTTTTCAACCTTGCCAACTTTAGGATGTATGGACTTCAACTCTCAGAATTCCCCAGCTAGCCATATTTAAAATGGCCAACGTTGAGAACATTGAGCTAGATGGTCATTAGCCCTTTAGGGTAGGAGAACCACTTATGAATTATTTTTAATCACACTGAAAAAAACAACTGCTAAGGCATGCCCTTTTTAAACTATCAACGTAAAATGCCATTAACAAAGGTCCAAGCATGAGAGTGAATTCACATTTAATTAGTGTGCAAATACATAAACAGGTTCACGGTCCTGGATTCAAGAGGTTGCATCTTTCTTTCACCAAGTGCACAGGAGAAAGAGAGTTAAACCCTTTGAATGACATATACACAGGAGAAGGCTCCCATTTGAAGACAAAGATAGTGGTTGGAATTTTTGTGCTGCCCCCTTAATGCTTTTTTTTTAGTAAAATGAAATCATTCTCGGAGAGACCTGTTGGCTTGGCTGTTCATTTTTGGGCCTGCCTATTAATCCTGCACCCCATTCAAAATGCTTGCTGCTTTCCGTTATGAGAACGCTGGCATGGAAGTCCCTGCAATGCTGTGAGCAGCCTAAGGTTATTCTGACATGTTTCACTGCATGCATGTGATTAAGCATTAGAGCACTACCTGCAAAAATAAAGGTAAATGATTATATTGCTCTCACTATTGATATTTCTTCCTTTTGCATTTTATTTTTCTCACTGCAATGTGATCTGTCCAAAGAATGCCTGTTCTGGGGAGCCCCTAAAGGGAACAAGTAAGGTGTCACAGTGAATGCTGCATTTGGAAGGATGCTGCGGCTCGCCTTTCAGTATGCTCAGCCCATGATGTCTTCACTAACACGGCTGTTGTTTTGAGGCCTGATCTGTGTTCCCCGGCAACGGCACAGACACTATAGAGCCCTTGCACACTGTTGCCTTTGTGTTATCATGGGAAGGAGCCCTCTGACCTGGGGAGAAGGGCCATTGCGTATTTTACTTCTGCATAGCGCAAGGCAAACAATCGGAAGCAATTATATAGGGGATGCTCTGCTACCAAGGAATGTAGGGATGTGGCTGACAAAGACCCAAAGGATCAAACTTATTGCACCACGGGAGATCAAAGTGGTTAGGACCCACAGTTTTCTTTTTTTCTCCCCAAGACAAACATTGGAATTTTAAAACATATTAGGTGAAGAACAAAAATCGATCTAGCCAATAAAGAGTTGAAGGCACTACATGGTTAGGGTTAAGGTTAGGGTTTAGTAGTACCTAGAGATTTAATATGGAGAGATATAGAGTTGAAAGAATTAAGGGAAATAGGTGAAATAGATATAGAAACATACTGGTTTAAAAAGAATATGAAAAAATTGCCAGGAGGATTCAAAATCCCTTTTTAAAAAATTAGATAGAATTATGGAATAAATGGAGATATTGGCTAATGCCAGGCATTTCCCCTTTAACACCGGTGTTGGAAATGGAGAAATTCCCTAAGGTTGAATCGAAAGAATGGATTAGTAAACTAAAAGAAAATCAGATATGTAAATGGGAAGATTGGAAGAACAAGATAAAGAATATAACACAACTAAAGAACATTTTAGCAGATATTAAATTAAATAGGTTGAATTTAATGCAATTAGAGAAATGGATAAAAGTGGAAGAAAGATTTGAAGAGAAACACACTTAACAAAATTTGAAATGATTATAAAAAATGTGAGATGAACGAATTGATTGTAAACTTGATAATGGCAGCTAGATTAGTGATGGCTAAATATTGGGGATGAAATTGGGATATTTAAAGAAATGAGTGGTATAATGAAATTTGGAGTATGGCAACAAATGATAAATTATCAACAGAAATTAAATTTAAAAAGGGGGTGATCAAAGCAAATAATTATAATGAAATATGCGGGGGATTTTATAAAATCAGTGTTGGTGGAAGGTAAAGGGAATAAACTTACTCAAGAATATATGTTGCTTTGGAAGGGATAAGGGCATAATTGGAATATGTTGTATATCTTTTCGTTGTTATAGACAAAGAAATATAAAGGTAAAAAAAGGACTCCGGAGGGTGGGGGTGCACTGTAATATGTGTTTTTTTCTTTTTCTTTCTTTTTTTGTATTCAGATGTATAAGTACTGTATTATTTGTCTTTAATTTTTTTTTAAAAAACCATGGTGATGACAAAGAGATGGAATTTCTACATATCTACAGTTAATCATGAGGGTCCTCTCCAAACGTTTTGATTCCAACTGTTCTCCCCTCCGGTGGGTATAGCCAATGACAAGGAACTGTGGAAGCTGCAATCTGATTCATCTTTCCACACTAGTCAATTGCCTACTTCTGTCCTACTTTGAGAAGCTAGGATGGCCATCGCACAATTTCATCCTAGTTTTGCTACCTAACATCTTTTCATTGATTGATTAAGTTAGCAATCTTTCTCAAAGCAAAACAATTCCATCCAGAGAGCCTATTCCTCCCTAAGGTCTCTGGCAGTCCACAGGAACACAATATAGGAATGTAAACAGCTTCCCATCTTCCATTTCTGCGAAGAACTGGAGAAAAGTTGGCACAGAACAATTGTGCATCTTTATATTCTTCCTCTTCCAAGCCTACCATAATTGTTATCTAACAAGCAACTAAATTCAGAATGGCAGTTTCTCCATCTCTTACCTGTCTTGAATTGTGCATCTGGAGCTGTAATCTCAATGATTAAATTCTGTAAGGCTGTGCCCCGTTGGTTCATCTCCTCCACAAGAACCCCCTTTGCTAGCCATTCTTCCACAAAGACCTGAAAATAGAACAGAGCAAGTATAAGAACATGGCCACTGGTGGATGAAAAGTCACAAAACTTCATGGCAATTTTTATATTCAACATTCCTTCCCATAATTATTTTGTCTTCTGTCACATTAAAAATGACCACCATGTTTGGGGAAATTCTGGGCTACCCTGAAAGCTGTGAGAGCTGCTTGTGGTCCTGGCTCCCCCCACCTAGGTACCTTTTTTCTTTCAGCTTCTTGTAGGCCAGTTTTTGGGCAGCAGCCAGCCTGTTCCCTCCCTCTGAATGAGCTCTAGACACCTCTTCAAAGCAGGACATCTCGGCAGCTCCCTTCTATAACCTTTTGCCACACAAGGCATGGTAAACAAGATGCCTGGGGCTGCAGTGACCACCATGACAATGAAAGTGTCAACTCACTTCCAACATGACTTCAAAACTGTGTGGAAGGAGGTGATCAGCAAAGAGGGTAGGATAAGGGGCAGGTGGCTGCCTACCAGGAGGTTGAACCACACACAAAGTGGACTTTGCCACATTACTTTGGGCTTTCATCTTTCAAAGAACTTTTTGCACTAAGTAGCAGTTCCTTGTCAGGATATCTACCAAACTGTGATGAAGCCATGCCCCCCACTTTTCTCATGAGTTTGCTTATATAATGGCTTCTGAACTTTCTCTGCCCACCTCTGTTTGCTGTCTCCGCTTCTCCAACTCATGTGTGCCCAAAGAAGTCTCAGTAGCTGGGATATTCCTCTTTGTTTCTTCCAGCCACTGCCTGAGCGATCCAACCAGTTTTCGGAATACATCCAACTGTTCTTGACAAGACGAAGCTCCTTTTTTCCTGGGAATGGATTAAAAAAAGGGGGGGGCTGTGAAGTACTTATATACTATCAGGCAAGCACAATCACAGCCAGTGGAGGAAGAGGAAGCCATCTCTTATAAGCTGTTGACCAAAGGGACAACCTGCACCTAAGCGTTCTCTCTGTCCACCACTAGGATCCACTGGACCACCCCATTGGTTTACCTGGTTGCTATGAGCCATGCAAAATTGGCAAACTGGCATTCTAATTATTTGGACTGGTTATTAGTTCCATATGTGGAGAAGCATTTTGAGCAGCAGCTATGAACCAGGAACATGCGAGTCCCAGTCCATTTATAGCCTGGACCAAAAATGCCTGGAAACTGCTTGGAGAATCTCACAATTATCACTTCCTCGTAAGAGTAAGAGCCATTTCACATCTTGTTTTTCTCTCCAATGCAGTTTAAGCCTTTAGACAAACTGGGTGCAGAATGAAGGGTTATGGACCTCCAATTCATTTTGCTTTACTCCTTTGACAATTTGTTTTACTTTCCTGGGTCAACTATAAATGCCACAATTAATTACATTAATATTTTCAACAACCTCAATAATAAAACATTGATTCATCTGTCTCATTCAGTCTTCTTAGTAAATTGAAGCGGCCAATAGAGGAAAGAAGCATCCTGCAAGAAATTATACCTACACCAATTCTAATCTGGCTGTGCAATGTTTCAGATCTTATTCCAGAAATGTATTTCGGTGTACCAGGGAATGGCAATGTAGTATAAGTAACTCTTTAAAGTAGTTGTGACTTTTCCCAGGATTTCACAGTGCCAAATAATCTGAGGAAAAGATGTGGCTTCTTTAAAGATGCTATAGTTCCACCTCAAATCACCTTTTTTGGAATTGAATCCAAAACATCTAGAAAAGCTCTATTGTTTCAAGATTCTTAGGCAACTAGAACTGTGAACACAACACATTCTGGATAATCCTACCTGAATCAATATTATTATTGAAAGCAGTAGTTGTGACAAATAAACAACTTAAGCTAAATACAAAAAGCAGTTAAAGTACATTGTTATAATTCCATGTAAAACTATAAATGATAAAATACATTTCCTTCTAGCAAAATAAAAACTATAAGAGGAAGGTTTAAGCATTATAGTAGTGGCTCCCAAAGTGGGCGGAACAGCCCCCTGGGGGCAGTGGGATGACTTAGGGGGCGGTAAAAGA